GCATTTTTACACCACTGTAGCTCTTCAGTTATTAATTTAGTACACCGACTCAAGTCGGGACCGAAATTTTTTATTATTTAAGCGAGAACATCAAGTTATCAAGGTTTTACTATATATTTTTTGCACTGCTATGAATCGTGTGATGTAGGTAAAGAATACAAAAGGTGAGGAAAAAAAAGCATCAAGAGAGTGATCTTAACAAAGTGGACTTTTTTTTTCCTAATCTTTTTCTTCGTGAGTGTTCATGCAAATGTACAGGACAATGAAGAGCACAGACAAAAGAGCAGGTATATATTTGGATTTTTGCCTCCTTAGGGGTCCCATTTCTATTTGCCTTTCCGTCATCCTCCTCCATTTTTTTTACTCAAATGTTCGAGCAGTGACCTTCCCCCTAGTTTGTCACCCGAGTAAATTAGATATGATCACAACTTATATACATTTGGATTGAACATTTGGGAAGCGATTTTCTTCCCTGTCAACCCCCCTTTACGACGTACGGACGGGATCCCCGAAGGGGTGATAGAGCGTACCATGACTTTATCTCCACAGAACACCTGACTTCTAACATAAATGTTGTCTTTCAGTCGCCATGGAGATTTGAACGTCCGATACTCCGTTTAAAACTCACATACTTTACCACTNATAGCTCCACAGAACACCTGACTTCTAACATAAATGTTGTCTTTCAGTCGCCATGGAGATTTGAACGTCCGATACGCCGTTTAAAACGCACATACTTTACCACTACGCCATGCCCATGGGGGCTCCATCATCATCTTTCTTTGTGCTTGATATGATGTTAGAGAGAAAAAAATTGCTCTAGGTTGGTCTAGTTTGTTGCAATGTCCCAAATCAAATATAATTAAGACGATCGACTTAGATAAGAGACAACATGATAAATGATAGATTTTCATAAAATTAAACAGGAGAATTGATAAATTTTGATGGATGTGTTATTAGAATTGCCATGAGTGTATCTGATAAAGAAAGGGAATTGACTCCATGATTATAAATGTTGCAGGTCAAGTGCGGGACTGAAACACAA